GGAATTTTTTTAAACAAAAATATTTTCATTAATTGCTTTAATATCACATATCCATTTTTGTTGCCTACATTATGGCGCGACAAAAAAAATTAACGATTTTTACATGAAAACGCTAAATTAGATTAAAAAAAATCTCTTGAGGTGCAAATACAGACCATAAGTCACCTATTTGCTTTAGTTCTTGCAAAGAAATTAATTGTGATGAAATTAAAAACTATTAGAATACAGATATGGCGTGTAGTAGTGACTAACATTTTCAAATATACACGCCCTACACACATTAATACAATGGAAAATAAATTTGTATTTGCCGCCATAGGAATATTCTTTTGTGAGCTAATGTGTAAATGCCACGCCCACAGTGCAAGTGCGCACCGATGCACTCAACACTATCTTCAACATTGAAAGTCAAAGTTACTATGCACTATTTTATTGAGTTTTCAAACATTTAATTGGGTCACTGGGGGTGCACGTTGAGCAGCAGAAGCCATATGTCTGTGTGTCTGCGTGCCAACCAATCCGCCTGTCATCACATGCCGTTCCAACGCTTTAACTGAACTTCCACCAAAAACAGAAAATAATAATAGTGATAACAAAAGCAGCAACAATAATATATGGTAGTTGGTGGTATGCCTTCCGCCCAGCAGAATGGAAATAATATATGGTAAAGGCTTAAACGCCACCACGGGTAAGCACAACTTCAAAACGGGTCACAACCCAATTTTACTAACTTAGCACTACTCTGCTGTCAGTCATCAGCTGCTGTGGCCGAAAGTGCGAAGAGCGGGTGAGTTAAGAGTGTGAGTGAGTTCATACGTGTGGCTTTTACACACAACGAAACTTGCACTTGCAGATTCGCCGACACATGGGCTTTTCACGAGCACACTTAAGTGGTAGTGTAAGGTATAACACGATATACTATATGTAGGTATATAGGAAGGTGTAAAATAGCGGTAAAAAAAGCAAAACTCACGGCTTTTGTAAGCGTTTATTTGGAAAAAAGCTTTGTAACCACGAAGTTTTCAGTAATGAAAACGAATGTACACAAAAATTCAAATTACACCTCGTTTTCAAGTCGTTATGAATCACGAACACCACACGAAACACTGAAAGCAAATGCAAACGGTTGCAACTCGAGTGACAAGCTGCTGACGACGTAACGCGAACGAGTCACATACGTTCGTACGTACATACGAATGCACGCGATGGCGACACAAAAGCAAACAACAAACATTTTGAAAATCATCTGCACTTTGGAGATTGCAGCAGCGTTGCTTCGGAACTTTATGAAACAGTTAGTATGTATGCGACTAGCCTGTGGCTAGTAAAAGCAAAACTGAAAGAAAAAACGAGTAAAAATACAATAACGAAAAATCAAGTACAAAAGCGCAAAACAATTGCATTAGTTTTCCCTCATTTTTTGCCGCTATTTCTCTTTATCACTGCATTGGCGCGCATAGCGCAAGCCGAGGAAGTCAGCAGGTAGCCAACAGCTGTGCCCGCACCCAGGCAAACCACCCCGTGAGTATGGTATAATGTGCAAAAATGTGCTCGTGCTCGTGCGTTATGCACAAATACAACAAATTCGCAGCTGCAACGACGACTACAACGAGTTGCAAACGAACCACTAGTGTGCACATATGTATATATGTATTATATGCATATGCATAAGTTACCATTATGGTGAATATACAAAAGGACTACCAAAAACGAGTGGAGCTGTCAGATATTGTCGCAAAGCCATGCACACATATTCATTTGCAAAAGTATATGCATATGTAACATAATACCTGCATTCGAGCAAATTAACAGCATTTGTCATTATACACATATACATACATATGCATAGTGTACTCACAATAGTAGAAAAACGTAGTGGAAAACAACATTTGTAAATTGGTATAAGAGAGAGATGAAGAGAGTGATGCGCGAAACACAATGCT